TAAAATGTTCAAACGATTTATAAAAATCGTTTATTTTAAAAATCGTATAAACGATTTAATAAATTGTACAAACAATTTGATATATTTTCCTTCCCATTTTATCAAACAAATTGTACCTCGATTTATTATATGTTACCGATTTTTGTTATATAGAAATTATGTACCTCTGACCACTTATTATATATTGTACAAACGATTTATCAAATTGTACAAACGATTTATTAAATTGTACAAATGAACTTAAATCGTACAAACGTTGTCATAATCGTTGAAATAAAAAAAATTTTCTACATTGTTAAAATGGCACGAATACGCCGTCGTAACTTATAATCTGTATGAAAAAAACGTCAGTAAGCATTTGACTTATTTTTAAATTGTATTTGCTGACAAGGTCATTATATCGACCATAGAACTTACGAAATGATGACTTTAAACGAGACTTCTGATATTCTTATTTTAACAACTTGTTTGTCAATAGTTTACTTCGTTCTAGAATTTTTTTAATACGTAGAACATGCTCTCGCGTATCGAATCAACTGAGAGATATAACCATGTATGCAGGTGATGAAGGTATATTGCTGCATTAAGAAGGGAAGGTGACGATTGAAAAGTTAAAGTCATTACGTTAATCATAGAGCTGCTTTGTTATTAGATTACCATTAATGTCTTTTTCAAGTCAAATATCTAAATCTGAAACAGATGTGTCAGAATCTATGGTACCATTGTTATCAAGTTACAGGGATACAATGTATATCGATATCAACAAAAGTGTGGAAATAACCATTGTTAATTGACAATACCTCGTCGATATACAGCGTATTCATATATCGAGTTGAAGGCCACAGCAAGTACGTATTTTCTTCTTTTCACATAAATAGATGTTGCACAAATTTTGCTTCATAGAAATACATAAATAGGTCGGCTAATAACAGCTAAGGGGACAGTTATTCATTTGTGTGATGTAATCTGTAAAATCAAAGTCAAGGTCAATTTAATAATAAAAGGTTTTCTATTTTTCATGATAAATTTTGCAGATTCAACATACATTCCATGCAAGAAAAAAACCCAGAATAAAATGCATATTTAAATGTACAAACTGATTAAAAGAAAAATTTTTCTCAGATGTAGCTAGGCAGTATCAAATGGGAAACTTCCAACAGTAATGCTATCTGATTATTGTCAAGAAATAGAATACATGTATTGCTATACTTAAAGAGAAAAATGAGGGTATTACAAGTTTATACGCTGTTGTATATGAGATTGTGATTACTTGTGTGCAAGAAGTTGCCGCTTATCACTAAAACTGAATTGTGTACTGCAAGTCAAGCAAAAAATGATGAAGGTTTAGTCAAAATGACACTCTTCAACTTTTGTTATCAATCGAATCCAGTAAAGACATGAATGATTAAAACCAAACGTTTGTCTTTTAAATTCAAGATAAAAAGGAAATCAATACAGTAATTCAGTATCCAACAAAAGCCACTTTTTCAGTTTAATTTCCATTTATATTGATGCAACCAAAATGATCAGTTACATAAGAGCGTATGCATTAAAACTCTTTAATAAAGAAATAAATCAAAAAATCTAAGCCAAGTCTCCCTTTTCTGTCTCGGAAATCTTGTCATACATCATATCTAACCAAGGAATAACAAATATGTCAGAGGTCTGCGATTTAATGAAGTAGCTGATATACAAAGAAACGGTGCCATCAGAAGTTATGTGGTATCAAATACTGGGATTGTTTCTATTTGATGGGGCTTTGTTTTTCAGAGTAATTTTTCACTCTCTGACAGAAGATTCTATCGTATGTTATTAAGACCTGGCATCAGTGATTGATAACCCTTAGTTTTTTCATCGTAGCCTGCATTGGGAGAAAGCATCAAGTTTAGTATTTGTATTGTTCTTACTGCAACAAGGAAAGTATTTCAAATACGATTTGATTCTGTAATTAAGATATCTAAAACCTTATAATGTTTTGAATATATACTCAGACAAAATTGGTGGGGTTAAAAATAAATGTGATGGACATCACTCTCCAGGCAATACACAGGAAGACTGCTTTCCAAAAATTTCCTTGGATCCGCCTTTTTAAGAGATCTTACAACTTTAAAACAATAAACCCTTTTTTTAAAATTTAATTTCTGCTATATTAAAAAATATTTTTTAAAACGTGTATAGTTGCTTGAAATAAAACATCATGAAAATTGTTTTGTCAAAATTATAAATTTATTTTTTCAATTCGAAATATTTTGCCTTTACCTATTACTAGTAAGTCCAAACATGTAATGAAACATATGGACATAACGAACAGTATTCGAGATCAAAAGTCCATAGAACAATACAAAATAGGAGCAGGGCAATCACGAACCTCCAAAACATCGGAGGTGGGATCAGATGCCATGGAGGAGTGAGCTCCCGCCGTGTGCTTATTATCATGATCGGGAAATAACAGAAGAATCCATCGTCAATTCAGTGTCTAAATAATGGACTAACAATTAGTATGAAAAACGTCAGTCAGCATTTGGCTCTATCAGGGCTAGAAAAAATGAGGTAATGTTTTGAACCATAATAAAAGAGTACATGTATAAAATATTTAAGCCCGATACGTTACGTTTCAATACATTGATATTTTTTACCTGAAATTCATTAGATGCATTCAAGTCTATCTTTAACGACGTTTTGTGCATTTCATTTTGAACACCTATAAGCTTACTCTGATGGATGTAATATATATTTCTGCTTTTCTGGGTTGTTATCCTTCATGGTCATTTAAAGGTTCCTTTGCCACAAGAGACTCCTAAACTCAACTGTATTTATTCATCGAATTGATTACAAATGAGACCACATGCTTTTGTTTGCCGCATCATTCATGAACCTTTTATTAAAAGGCGATTTCTATTTGAACCGCAAATAAGGCCGCTGGACATTCGATTGGGCAAATATGTATTTCACAACATCTATGGGCATTACATGATTTTACAAGTTTACAAACAATACCAAATGTTAATACATCAATAACTAAATAAAAACGTATCCAAACAACCGTTATAGATGATTTGAAAACTACTTGTTTTTTCCTGTGTTTATTTTTTGCCAGCAGGTATTTACAGTCGAAAGCATTGTCTAGTTATATTTTCTTCATCAAACAACAGAATAATTTAGTGATAATATTTTCACATCACAGTACAAAAATATACAAAATGCAAGTAAATGATCATAATTTTTCTAAATGAGCACAATCAATAAATAAGTATTACACTATGACTCTCTATAACAATCTAAACCCAGAATATGCATACATAGATATGTGTGATTGTCAGGAGAGAGAGAGAGAGAGAGAGAGAGAGAGAGAGAGAGAGAGAGTCTTTCAATTCTTAGATTTTGTGCTTTAAAAATGTTTCTTAGAAAAATGTACTAAACAATGTCAATATCTATTTTTTAAAGGCAGTTGATAGTGATAACTCGAGAATTTTAAACAAAATCTTAATTCATGAAACAATTATATATAAATTACATGGATATCATTAGTTTCCAAATAAATCAAGAATTGATTAATTTTTCTTCAACAAAAAGCAGACGCTTGAACTCTCACTTGTTTCTAATGAGTTTTAGGTTTTATTGTTTGTACATAAAGTTTCAATATAATATAGGAGAAACCTTTCTTGTTTGGATTTCATATATTGAAATTGAGACTTCTCTCCTTGAGCAATGTTGATGAATTACGTTGTTTTCATAAATGTCTTTAGTATTTTAACATTTAATAGATAACATGCGAGTTTTCTAGAGAGTGGAAAGATATATTTTTTTCCTTTTGAAAATAGTCATATTTATGGATTTGCCGTTGAATCCATTCTGTTATACATGTCACGTCTAGAACTGCGACATTCCCTCCTCAATAGAACCTATTTCCCACGTCTTAATATGCTTTAATATCTCGAGAGAGAATCAGTTCCTAGTTGGGCCATGTACAGGTCATCGAGCCTCCAGGATTTGATGCAGAGTGACACTTGATGAAGGAGAACATGGATTCTCCCTAAAAGCCCGGGATAAGTATGTCTTTTAACAGTTTTTTTTTTTACTGTAATGCGATTAAATGAGGTACATTGCTGACTTTTACATTTTGAATTCTTCATACATTGGTTATTTGTTGATTTTTTTCCCGTTAGGTAATAAAATGAATCAGATCAGGAAAGACATAAAAACAAATATGACATTTTTTTTTCAATAATTACGAATACATACAATAGTTAATTATCATTAAAAAGGCCATTCATCGTTAATACCTCATCAAAATTGATTTCCTAGTCTCTCCGGATATCTTATTTGTGTCTTATTGAATAGCTTCTTTAAAAAGCTCGCCAAATTTATATCTGGTAATAATACGTGATTGTTAGCTGTAGTACAATACTATCTAGCTGTGAACCCTAATTACTTGCGTATTTCCATATTAAAGAAAACGAAAGGATGACCAATAACTCTGTTGCATACAATCTAGATAATGTTTAAAACCATGCCTATCGACCATCATCTAAACGAATATAGAAGAATTTCTTAGTAACAATTACTCTTACTATTCTTCTTCTATTAAAAGAAAATAAGGTACATAAAGGTTTTAGTGTCAACTGAATAATTTTTTGCTTTTAAAAGTAATAAAAACATCACTTTTTTTATTTGGAAGTTTTCAGTCGGTTAACAATGATTTTATGAGAAATGTATAACAATATGATTAGACAAATAGAATTTCTACTACGGTTACTTGTCATTTCTTTTGTTTTAAAGATACAGATCGCTACTACTGTATAACATAACCAACAAAATGCTAAATCATAATATTTGATTTTCTATCATAAACAATTTACCATCGAGTGCAAAAGCAAAACATAATTTCATTAAAAATTTCCAGCATAGTTATTTATATAAATGATTTTCTATTATTTCGTAAGATGTACATTAAAAAGATAATAATTATATGAAAATAACCCATAAAACAAATATTGTGCTTTTATTATCACGGATTTCTCTGAAGAGGAAAATAAAATCTTCATCATCCATTCTTTTTATATTCAGATATCTCTACAACGTTTGTTTTATTGTCTTCTTGGTGCATTTTCCCATTTTCCTGTGGTACGGCCGTGTAGTGGGAACATTCTCTTTGCAGAGGCATAGGTTTGCATGTAAATATTCTTTTGAAGGTTTCCCTAAACTGTCGGCTCATTGCACAGTAAATGAGAAAGTTAAGAGGATAAGACACCAGGATAGCTGTATTAGACACGGCTGTCATAAGTAAAAAGTTACTGGTTTCAGATATGTGAATATCAAGCGTATTTTGTATGCTGAACAATATCATAATAACGCCAAGGGGCAGTTCAACGAGCAGAAATAATCCCAAAACAGCCACCAGCATCAGAGTCGTGCAGTTGCTGTCAGCCAGTTTCTTAGATTCATTTTTCTTATTTTGTCGCAACAAGAGTCTACGTCGTAGCTGGGCTTGACGCATGGTCCGGATAAGAAGAGCATTTAAAATCAACAGAAGGGAACAGGGAATGAAGTGGATAAAAATGACTCGAAATCCAAATATAAGATTAAAGTACAAGTCCAAGTCTTCTTGCACAAATGGTCTGTATGGAAACAGACAAGTTGTAATTGTTTTATTTGGAGATCTCTTTGAAGGTATCGAGTGTGGAATAGATTCTGACTCAATGAAACGTGTTGTTTGTGTTAAAGTGGCCACAACATATATGCCAACTGTGGCTCTGATGACATTAGGAACGGTGCAGACTTTTCGGGCGACATCAGTGTGGCAGACATAAATATATCTTAAAATGGCTAAGAAAACGGTCAGCCATATTGAAGCAGTATGGAATATCATTGGCAGATATTCGGTAAATAGTTTGTACACATAACACCAATCGTATGGAGGATATTCGACGTAATTTCCAAGCGTAAAGAAATAAAAGTACATTGGAAGAGGAAAAAGTCCCGTAAGCATATCTGCCAGGGCCATAGCCGCTAATATGATATTAGTCGGTGACCGCATGTGTTTCCGAAGAAGAACAAGCATGACAAGAATGTTGGTAACGATAGTTACTAAAATAAAAATAATAGACACAATCCCATTGATAGGCACTATGTAAGATTGTCCAGGATTCATAATTGGTAAAATATCCTCGTATCCCATGCCGTTACCTGGAGTACTGGCGTTATTGCCATTTGATCTGTTAAACATTTTCTCTGTATGGTCGTATGCAACGAGGGCCGTGAAATTATTTGAAATTTCAAACTTTGCTGACGTCATCATGAAATCAACGTAAATCAGGATGTAGAAGTTTCCATTTTTTCACATTTTTTTATTTTTAATTTAATCGCTCGAACTATGTCCATAAGAGTGACCGCATGCTCCACAATTTTAATTCTTAACAGTCATAATAGATTATTGGATAATATGAATTCAATTTTCAAAGTCAATGTTGAACCGAATGAACAAATAAAAAAAAATAATTACACCTTACCTAAGGATCTTGTAATTTATCTCCAGAGAAAGTACAAGGAATAAATTTATTTTACGCTCACACTTGTCAAGAACTACCTCTGTTCCCGAAATGAGATCTTTTCCTTTTGAAGCAGATAGTCCCTTTGATTTCAAAGACCATGGCTACAAGAGGTTTGTCTGGGATGAGGTTCCGTGAGGTTTGGTGCATAATTGTCCATTGTCCGACGATTACAATGACAAAAGTAAAAACGGAGACTCCTATTGATTGTGTGGCCGCTTTTATGTCGTCATTAAATACTTGAATCTGGTGCGATACTTATCATTGCTATTTTCCGATACAATCTCGGCTTCTTTAACAATGCAGGCAATTGTGTTTTTGTGAGCAAAATTTTTATTTCTAAAAAGCCTCCAATTCAATTCACAGTTTACTGTTCCGATGATGAAGTTGTGTTTAATTATTGGCCCCTGATCGATGTCTTTTGGAATATGTCCCGACCGGCAATTAGTTCCAACCTCAGCCTATGCACCGATCCATACTTGTCAAATCTCTCCCGTGGTTTAAAGGTTATTATTTCACTGTAGCATCTCGAACCATGCTATTAAACTTTTACAATAAAAACACCGCTACTTCATCCTTCGTAATATGCACAATTAACATGTCACTTTATCAGCTAATGGATGGTTAAAAAGCTTTTATATACAATAAATATTAGTTGATTCGGCACTTAATCCAAATGTCTTGTCTAAATAGCAATATAAGGTGAATACTCTGGACATATAAATGCAGGAAAGCCTGGAAAAGAGGAAAAGAAAGTACAACTATGGTTATTCACAGACGAACACATTAACGACATTCATTTTCTCGTATATCAAAAGCATTAGATGTCCGCACAGGTAAATATAAATTGATGAAGCTTTTAATTTTCATCCTTGGTCCGAAAAGAGAAAGAGAGAGAAAAAAGAAAAATCGATGCACTCCCATAGTATTTAATTATGTCTGCACTTATAATCCTTCTGGGTACTCCTACTCAACGCTCCAATTTTTTAATGAAATATGTTTTTCATAAATAGCAAGATTACATTATGAAAATATAGGCATAAGTAATATAAATGCATACTGTATATTCACATAGGAAGGTAGAATTTATTTTAAATCCCAGAGCTTAAAAAATGTAGATTTATCTCCTGCCGCGTCTGATTCACTTTAAGATATAGATCGTCTTTATTGCGCTATATACGTGGGAGCAAACATGCCACGTTATTTAGAGAAAATTATTTGCAAGAGTATATTTTATTTATTTCCCTACTTTTATAACTAGAATTGATATTGACACTAATTAATGACCAATAAAAATAAAATGTAATGAAAACGGCTTTAAAATGATTTAACAGGAAGAAATAAAGATATGATCTGCGCTTTGCAAAAAACAATGGAACGTATATGTATGAGGAAAGTAAAATTTGACGTCTGATTTTCAAACAATAGAAAGAACGCAGCATTTGTACACCTCCTTAATAGCTTGGAAAGTTATGAAAGTAATATGTTCTATTGGGCGCCTGCATGCATAATTATACTATTTGCTACTATACTATTATACTATTTGCTTATTACTTCAAAAAATTCATTTATTTTATTTATTTTGACAGAAAAACAAATTACTTGGTATTGAAATAAAAAAAAATTAAAACTCCAGATATCCTGTGATGAATTCGAAGGAAAAGAAATTAATTAGATATAGATCTCCGCAACGTCTATAATTGTATATATAATTATCAATGAAAATGATTGAAATAAACTGATAAAACTTCAAAATCCAACAAAGACAACGAATCTAACAGGACAAAAAGAAAACGAATCCTGAAAACACACTAGACTTGGAGAAAGAGCTGTCTGTATTGATCAAGTAAATGAATAATCTTTTTGTCAAAATGATATAGAATACAAACATCTGTTGGAAGCATGTCAATCAAAGTAAGACCCAATGATATGTTGTTATTGCTAACAAGGTCATTATTTCGGGCATTCAATTTGCAAAATGCTGACTTAAAACGAAATATTTGAATCATGTCTCCGTTAAAAAAATTAATTGTTCTCTTTTGGAATATGCGTTTGAGTATCACATCAGTTAGATAAAAGCAACATATGCAAGTGATTTTGGAATATAACTGTACAAAAAGGCAAGTTGACAATGAAAAGCTGAAGATATTATTATAGTTTAGTTATCGGTTTGTCACCAGGTCTACAGTCAGGAAAGAAAATCGTAATAGTAAGCAGATCTATATGGTGGGCTCTTATGCATGAAATATGTGGAGATACCGAACAGTAGTCGAGCTGTTCAATGTCCATTATACATTACAAAAAGGGAGCGGAACAACACGGACCTCCAAAACATCAGAGGTGGGATCAGGTGCCATGGAGAAATGAGCATCTTTAATTTTGAGTTCACTTGATTAATGTACCTTTAACATATATTGTTAGTACTATTGTTGAGCACGAACACAGCTCTATAACAAAAAACGAGCATAATTATAAAAAAAACTGAAAAAGGTTCACACAACAATTTTTTTTTTAAAGTGTCTATGTGGTCGTTTAGGTAATCGATCATAAAAAAGATGGGATCCATTTTGTATTAGATATATACACAATCATTTTGTGGCACTTTTTTTGCAAAAAATTGTTTCATTTTCATTCAGCATTCTTTTACCTTCCAACAAATCCAGTCAAAAATATGCAATTAGGTAAAAATAATGAACAGTGATTAAAAGGATTAAGACAAGGAACACACGGCGGGTGTTTGATGTTTTGGAGCTAGGTCTGTGTTTGCTTTGATCCTTTTTGTATTGTTTAACGGACTTTTGGATTTGAATAATATTGTTCGTTATCTCCATATATTTCATTATAAATATTATAAATATTAAACAAATATGTGAAAAAGGCATAAAACTACGAAAGCCCAGAAGGCTCATTCGAGATTCAAGTTTCGAAATACGAGATTCAAAATTCGAGATTCAAGATCCAGATTAACCAGTCAAAAGGCTCATTTGAGATTCGAGATTCGAAATACGAGATTCGAAATTCGAGTTTCATTTATCAGGAATATATTTATTTTTGCATTGTCTACTTTATATAAAGGGTTGTTGACATAATAATAGAGTTATAAATAGTGACTAAAGATTAACAAAATCCCCACCCCTACCCGCCACACCTGCCACTTTTTCCTGACACTGAAAATGTTATTTTAAAAACTTGAAAAGCAATGTAGCCTTGATAAATAAAAACCGAGTAAATTAATCTTTGACCATAACGCTATGGTCAGAGACTTAAATATTAAACCATAACGCTATAGTTCTGCAGCTAATTTAGACTAATCTACTGTTTGATATCAGATAAAATGAATGCTGCATTTATTCTAATTCATATTTGCAATCTGTATTGTATATATAATTGGTAATTAATTCAAGAAATCAAAGCCTTAGATGAAGATAAGTAATTGAAAACTTTATTTATGTACTGAGTATTCCCTCTAATGGGAAAACGAACACGGTTTTTATTCATCAAGGCTACATTGCCTTTCAAGTTTTTAAAGTAACATTTTCAGTGTCGGGAAAAATTGGCAGGTGCGGCGGGTAGGGGTGGGGATTTTGTTAATCTTTAGTCACTATTTATAACTTTATTATTATGTCAACAACCCTTTATATAAAGTAGACAATGCAAAAATATATATATTCCTGATATATGTATTTTATTTAATATTTAAGAAGTCATAATATAAATTGAAGTATATCTTGCTGATCAAAAATCCAATGATTATTTAACTTTCCTTCTATTATATATAACACTCTTTCTTGCATTGTAATTTCATCAAATGACTCATTTGTTATAAATATATTAAACGATTTATTGATAGATAAAACATAATAAAGGGGAGTAATCAAATGTTGAACCCGCATTTGATTGGTTAATCTGGATTTTGAATCTCGAAACTCGGAATTTCGAATCTCGTATTTCGAACCTCGAATCTCGAATGAGCCTTTTGATTGGTTAATCTGGATCTTGAATCTCGAATCTCGAATTTTGAATCTCGTATTTCGAAACTTGAATCTCGAATGAGCCTTCTGGGCTTTCGTATAAAACGGATTCCATGTACAGAGAAGGGACCATATCTTGTTGACAGGTCGCACCCATCGTAAGCCCTATTAACGGAGCATCACGTGGTCAAATTCAGTATAAAAACAAAGGCATATCAGTGAAAGAGGTCAAAGCAAGACATGTAAGAAAATCGATGTAACAGGTCCAAGATGTCAACCTTTAAAAGAAATAGGTTTATTTTGCACCCAGAACCGTCTATTAACTGAGTACTTTTGTTCTAAATATCTTGAGATAAATATCAGGGAAAAATTTAATCTTTTTTGGTACAATATTGTTAATATTAGGAGGCCCCTTTCAAAACATTTTTTGGAGTTTATCACAAATCCAACATGAGAACAAATAAAAGCATATAACTCATTTTGTATCTCTTTCTATTTCATTTCTTTTTAGGATACGATATTCTTTGAATAACTGTCAATTAAAACCAATAAAACGTCAATTGTTCACATTGAAAATGATAAAGTTTTCTTTTAAATGTGCAGACCGCCTGCGTAATTGAATAATTTTGGTTTGCGTCTAACTTGAATGCTTTTTATTAGATTTAGCTAGAAAGAAACTAAACCAAAGCGACATTTGGAACGAGATATTAAAATACACCGTGAAACATATCAAACCACTCTGTCTTAAGCGGAAGATTGACCTAATTATGGATAAGCTATACATATAGATTTAGAAAACTTACAAAGCCCTAATCTCACGTTTCCTTAAGAATTTCTTTTTTGAAGTTATAATTTCAAATTAAACACACCTTAGAAGACAAATTTAATTTCATTCCCTTTGTGTAAAGCTTAGGTAGGAATATGAAGTTTTTTCGCGGCTGTGTTTTGTTATTCCGTCTTCCTCTTATTTCGTCTGCGTTTTTTTTTTCACCCAGCTTTGTTTTATTCAATGAAATATGAAGCAAATGCTCTAAAAACCATTCGAACAATACAAAGCAGGAGTAAAGAAAACTCGGACCTCAAAAACATCAGAGGGGGATCATGCGCCATGGAAGTGCGAGCATCCACTGTCGAGTGGCCACAACAGCCGTGTACTCCCTGACTAATCATTAATAAAATTCAATTAACCTGTCATAGGTCCTGCCCTATCTTTTCCTATCTGGCGTTTTGCTTACCTTCATCAACTTATTATGAACCTGGCCTACCAAATCGTCTTTATCTTATGCCGACATGCATATATATTTTCATTTAAAACACAATGCATACACTGCAGCAAACTGATGAGACAAATTTTAATTGTTGTCACTGGCACCGCACATGTCCTAAATTTTACATTTATGTATTTATTGCTATTTCTATTTTGGTGATCAGGCTTGGTGAACTTTTTTTTTGATCCAGCTTAACATACATAGAGCACACCGACACCATTTTAGTCAATTGAATTGTTACTGAAAGGTTTTGACAGAGCTCCGTCATGGAAGCCTCTTTTATAAGACTTTTATTCCCTTTTCAGTCAGAACTATAATATTTATTGTAAAGATTTCCGTGGAGTTTTGGAATCAAGTATATGTACTGTACATTGCATGCACTTTCTATTTTTGTGTTATTTAGTTCTTTCTGAATAAATACAATTTTCAACTTCACAATTTTCAAACTTTTTTAAATATCATAATATGTGCAACTATAATCATTATGACAAGAATG